TAGCCAAAGTCATTACTGACACATTGTCGCCATTATGTAGACACCTAAACATAGCTGGACTGCCACGCAAGTGTGTGCTGCTGAGTAGCAACTGAGTATAAAGATGTTTAATCTCATCCACAGCTCTTCATCTCTTCTTCAAGACTGCCTGAATCTCCCCAGTCTGAACTGATGACAAGACAGGGACTTGACCAAATCTTACCAAGACTAATAAACGGTACAGCTGTGTTTCAAAATTATGGCTGTCCCTAGCTACTTGGGAAGATGAGGCAGGAGGATTGCTCCAGTTTAGGAGTTGGAAGCCAGCCTGGGCAGCACAATGAGACTTGGTCTCAAAAAAAAAAGTCAAAATTCTACGGCTAAGATTGGTGTTCTTTTCCACCAGCTGCCTTACCCACTGTCTCCAAAGTACTGTGGTACCCCAAGGACCTCAAGAAGATTGAAAATCAATACCACAGCTAACATTTGGAACCTCCAAACAAACATTCTCAATAAAGGACATATTATACTGTATTATCTGTTGCAAACTATCACTTGTTAGCTTTCCAGCCCCCTTTCCCTTCTGCCAGCCCTCTTCTCTCTCTCTGCCACTAAAACTTCGCAGGTGATTCTAATAGGCACCCAAAGTTGAGAAGTGTTGGGCTTTAACGGAGTCAGCACTCAATGTGCTGCTCTCTAAGGAGCCACTGCATCTTCTGGTCAGGACAAGAGGAGGAATAGGGTCTCAGTTCAGCTGTGGTATAAGTAGAATGAACACATGGCACCAGTAGTCTCTCTGAACCTGTTTCCTCAGCTGTAAAATAGGAAGAATGTTCTTAGCATTGTACAAAGATTGGGACAACACTAGATAAGGACCTAGCAGGTTCCTGTAACAGATGCTGAGTAAGTGAATATAAGGTCACATTGTAAAAGAGAGAGAGCCAGAATATATGACTGCTCTTCTGTGCTGTACTATTGTGACTGTTCTTGTTGTGACTGTCACTTTCAAGCCATGGGAGCCAGGCATGGTGATGCACACCTATAATCCCAACACTCTGGAAGACTGAGGCAGGAGGATCACAAGTTCAAGCCCAGGCTAGGTAATTTAGCAACTTAGCAAGACCCTGTCTTGATAGATTAGACAGACAGACAGACACACAGACAGGCTGAGGATGTAACTCAGTGTAGAGACTCTAGGTTCAATCCACAGTACTGGGAAAGAAAAAAAAAGTTTGTGAGCCATGAGGTTTAACTAAATGGAGTCATCAGCAGAGAAATGAGATGTGAGTCTGGCCCTTTTATCCCCATTTTCAGTAGCTGCTCTGCTCCTGAAGATGTCCAGTTGCTTTTGAAGGCTGGACATTCTCTAGCTTTCTTGGATCCTGCCTGAGTGTTGCTATAAGCAAAAGTGTGAGTAGAGGAGGCCATTCACCTGAGGACTTATAATTCCTTCCTTCTGCAGACTCCTTTTCCCACACCATTGCCCAACATCACTGTCCTACACCTTGTGTTGCCAGGTGACCGCTGGACACTCATCCTCTCTGTACTCCTGTGCTTATCACCTTCCTCTGTGAAGTCTGTTGACTCTGTGCTAATGACGCACAGGCTTTGAGCTCAGGCCCAGATGGACAGGAGATCAAGTCCAAGGGGATGTCTAAGCTCTCATCTTGAATACCCTTGCCACGGCCCCTAGCTCAAAACTGAGGGTCACACTTAATCCTGTCTGCCCAATTCATCCAATTGAGCACGAGCACTATCAATGCCATCTCTCAAATTTCTCTCAAATGCATCTCCTCCTCAAATCCGTTCCTTAAGCCATTTTTGAGGGCTGACTGTGAGACTGGCTGTTCTTCCTCCCTCTTCCCCACCTCAGATTCCTGTTATTGCTCCCTTAGACTATAGCAGCAGCCGGAATGGAGCTTCTTGCTCTCAGTCTTGTTTTTTCCAAATGCTCTGTGATCCCTGTCACTCCAGTTCTTAAAACCCAGGGAGCTCCCCATCAAGCAAGAAATTCCTTGGCCTGGAATCGCAGGCCCTTCCTACCTTCCCAGCTCCATCTTCAGCCACTCAGTCTCCAAGCAGTCTGTGCTTCACCCACGTGCACTCTAAACCCCCAGCCCCAACACAGGACACACTTATATTTATTTTTTAGAGCAGTGTTAGATTTATAGAACAATTGCAAAGACAATGCAGAAAGTTCCCAAACTATAAATAATTTAAAGAGCAAAATGAAAGATAGATGATAGGAAACAGGGAGAAAGACTTTGTGGAGATGCTAAGGGGGCCTAGCTAGGGATGGGGAGAGATGGGAGGGAGATGAAGGGAAGAAAAGTAAAAAGGACCAAGATGCAATATGTATATGCACTTATTGCTCACAATAACTATGTATTATACATTGCAAACATATACTCACAAAAAGATTAAAAATATGGAGGGATAACTGTTTACGCTACACTCAGTTTCCTCTATTATTACCATCTTACAAAGTATGGTACCTTTGTTAAAATTAGCCATTATGATTAACTGAAGTCCATGGTTGGATTCCATTTTCCTTACTTCTTACCAGAGTCCTTTTTGTATCCCAGGATCCAACTGGAATACTATTTACATTTAATTGTCCTGTCTTCTTACCCTCTTCATGTCTGGGATATTTGGGATATACTTATATTATTTGCCCCTTGCTTTGCCCAGGTTGTTACCTCCTCTCTAATGATTACCCTCTTTCTCTCATTCTCTGCTAGCAAACTCCCATTTAACTTTAAAGACTGAGTTCAAGTACCATCTCTCCTGGGAGACCTTTGGTGGCCCATGACCACCCCGCCTTGGCTAAAGGCCTCTCTTTAACTTTGCACACCAACCAGCTGTGTTGCAAATATCTGGAACTTATCTGTCTTCCCTTCAAAGTATAATGTCCCCAAGGGCAGGAGCCAGGTATCACTCATGGCTGCAGCTCTAATATCAAGCACAGGGCTTTGCCATGAATAAGGATTAAATAAAGACTGGTAATATAAAAGTGGATGCTCAGGATATGGCTTTGTAGCTCACAAAACTGAGGCTAGATGATCCTTCTCTCAGCCATAGATACTAGTCTACCTTCCTTCCCTATCAGTTCTTCCCTTCAGGGACTGAGAAGTCTGTGTTTCCTCTGGATTTGGCCTTTCTGTAGAATGGACTTGCTGCTTTCTTACCTGCTTTCTTCTCAGAGCTATTGTGGACTTCAGTCCAGACAGATCATCTGATATGTCTGTATTGCATGACCACAAGAAGAGGTCTTGTCATTTTCATTACACACACGAGGAAGTTGAAGTGGAGAGAAGTAAAGTGTGTGTACTTTACCAGAGGTCACACAGATGGTAAATGGGTTGACTGGGACTTGAACCTAAGCTTTGTGACTCATTCCTACACCTGGGCTCTTCCCACTGAACCACACTATTTCTGCATATAAAAACCATAACCATAGGCAATAATTAAGTATTATACCATAGCCATTCCAGGACATTTTGGCATCCTTTTCAGGGACTATTTGTTTATTTGTTTGTTTGTTTCTTTTTTTGAGATGCTTCCCAGGCTGGCCTCCTACTGCTTGATTCAAAAGGTCTTCCTCAGAAGATCCTGAACTATGGATATATGCCAGCCTCCCAGGGTACAGGGACTCTTTTAAATAGGGATCCAGGCTAAACCTTTCAGTTTCTTTAGTTAGACTTGAAGAGAAAGAGATGAGGACAGTGAGAGTGAAGAGAGAGTGAATAGAAAAACATCAAAGTGATTCTGAGGTGAGACGTTGTGTCATGAGGTGCCATTTTGTGAAGAGAGAAAATGTCCTCTCAGGATACTGTTCTCCCCCACCTGTGTGTTGCTGTGTCAACTGATTAAGCCCAAAGGTTGGCCTAGAAATTTGCCACGAGCAGAGGCATAATTAGCCCCTAATTTCCTTTCCATAGAAGTTTGCTTAGGCAATTGCCAGCCCTGCTTTCTGGAGCACTTCCCTCCGTACACTTTCCTACACCTGCAGCTGCCCAAGAATCTGAGGCCTGTTCCAGGGGTGGCTCAAGGGGGAAGAACAGCAGATTAAGGGCAAACTGTAAAGTGAATGAACATGACTTATATTTATACAGAGCTTTACAGCTGCTAAGGCACTGTCACAACACATCTCAATTTGTTCTTCCAACAATACCAAGAAAAGGATATTATTATCAGCCTTAATATGCAGCTCAGAAAGCCAAACAACTGGCCCATGTTCACATTGCCAGAAAGTGGCAGAGCTGGAATTTGTATTCAGATGTGCTTACTCCACAAGTCCATACTCTTTTTTGCTGTGCCTCAGTACCCTTTCATTAAATGTGTACAGTGTTTTAATTAAATGGCATGTAAAGTGCAGAAGGAACGTTAAAGTTAAATGATGATGAAAATGAGGATAATTTTAAAAGACTTCTTGGAACAGATAATCCCACATGTGAGCTGGGAACAGAAGTGGATGTCAAGGTGCACAGATATTTAAAAAAAATAGTTTTGCCCAGGCATGTGTAATGAGGCTGAGGCAGTAAGACTGAGTTTGAGGCCAGGGTGGGCTGCATAGTTAGTTCAAAGCCAACCTGGACTGCATAGCAAGACTGTACAGATATTTGGTCTGTTCCCAAAGGGATTTAAAGTAGCAAAGAAATATTAGACAGAGAAACTGCATCCTTTTTTTTTTTTTTTTTTTTAACCTGGTTTGGTCTTGACTCTAGTCTGATCCTACCCCTTCTTGGGAATGCTGCTCCAGATTACCTCTCAGCAGTTCACTCACTCATTAAAAAACAAATGAATAAACAAAACCAAGAGTTTATGGGAAGAATTTATATGTAGTGTTTACATGAAAATCACTGGAAGAGTTTAAAGTCTGATGGAGACAATACCTAGGTAATTCATAATAGTGCTTTGTTAGAGGGTAGAATAAGAGGAAGGCTGTGAGGGCAGACTGTCTGATTAGACCATATGGTTCAGATCTTTACCTGCTTCATGACCTTAGACAAGTTATTTACCTCCAAGACTCATTGTAAAATGAGTATGAAAAAGGAAATTCTGTGCCTGGCGCTCTACTTCAACAAATGGCGGTTGTCTCTTAGTTCTGCTGATGGTTTCAACCTACAATGTGGGGAAAAAATTTTTACCAGTTATTCCTCAGACAAAGGACTATTATCAAGAATATATAAAGAACTCAAAACAATCAGCCCCCCAAATATAAAGACCTGATTCAAAAATGGGCATCAGAAATGAACAGACATTTATCAGCCAAAGAAGTAAAAGCAGCAAGTAAATATATGGAAAAAATATTCCCCATCACTGATCATTCAAGAGAAGCAGATGAAAACAACACTGAGATTCCACCTCACCCCACAAAGAATGGCTGCTATCAAGAAATCACACAATAACAAATGTTGGCGGGGTTGTGGGGAGAAAGGAACCCTTCTTCATTGTTGGTGGGAGTGCAGACTGGTGCAACCACTATGGAAATAAATATGGAGATACCTCAGAGAGCTTGGACTGGAGGTTCCGTTTGACCCAGCCATCCCTCTGCTGGGTATCTTTCCAAAAGAATTAAAAGAATCATATCACAGAGAAATATGCGCACCCATGTTTATAGCAGCACAGTTTGTAATAGCTAAAACTTGGAAACAGCCCATTTGCCCATCCATTGGAAACTGGATAAAGAAGATGTGGTTTTTCTATAAAATGGAATATTACTCAGCCACAAAGAATGAGAAAATAGATTCATTCATAGAAAAATGGATATATATTGAAGATATACTCCTAAGTGAAATAAATAAGGCACACATATGTAAATACCGAATAGTTTCTCTGGTTTGAATAATCTGAAATAATACAGAAGATCCTAATAAGATTACTGACATTGAGATATGGGAAGAAAGGAGCTAAAGGTGTAGGGAAGGTGGGATGGGTAGGGGAAGGGTAATAAGGGGAAAGAAAAAAATGTGAGATAATGAAAAGATGGAAATAAAGTGTTTGTAGATGGGGAAGGGAGAGGAGGGTCAAGGGAGGGCAGGGACAAGGGGAAAAAATGAGAACCAAGACTTGTCATGTAGAGGTACAAGATCCCAACAATGAATGTAACTGTACCGTATCCCTAAAATGTACCAATAAACTCAAAACCAAAAACAGGCAAACAAACAAACAAAACAAATGGTGGCCAGCCATCACTGCTGCCAGTGGGTATTGGCGGAAATGTGAATCACAGAGGAGAAAATGTGCGAGCCAAGTTCTGAATGGTAAGTGTACCTAGTTTATCAGGCAGGGCATACAGCTATTGCAGTCAGAGGGAACAAAATAAGCAAAGCACAGAAACTCCATGGAACACAGTATTTGGAACCTATGGAGTATTCTAGTATGGTTAGAACCTAAGGGGCAAAACAATAGAGAGTTGGGAGAAGGAACTTGTCCCTGAAAATGTTATGTTAGAAAACCAGGCATAAGTTTAGCATCCTAGCACCCTGAAAGGCAATCTAGCACAGCAGTTAAATACGCAGCTCCAACATTTCCTAAAGGAACATTTGCAAGTGCTCTCTATGTTCCCCTCCCAGTATCTGGTGTCTTTGAGTTGTTACTTCACTCAGAGCTGGTTGTGAGGATTGTTGAAATGATGCATGAAAAACACTCATCACAGTGCCTGACAGCACTCAATTCATGTTAGAAATTAATATTTTATTATAATAGCAATCTTTTTATTATGTAGAATATAGTGATTATCTTGACTTAGGATAATGTATAAGCTAGCTCCTCAGTACTTGAAAGGGCCCTAAGAATCATCCAGTCTAGTATCTCTGTTTTAAACTTGGAGAATTGAAGGTTTGGGTAGGAGGGTGTTCAATAGCGCATGAAGTAAATGAGTAGTAAAATTAAATCATACCAGAGCTCCTGACACCCAGCCTGCACTTTTGGCATCTTTACTGTAGACAGGTTGTCTCTGACAGGTTCTTTTCCCTCCTCAGATGGTTGTCCCCATTCTCTTGTAAATAAATTTCAAGGCTTTTGCTTCATAGAACTGGTTGTTGATCCTATTTTTAGAACACTCTGGCACCTGTATGCAAATGAGTGTCTGGGGATTTATCTGCTTTGGTGAGTCTCTCCCAATCCTGCCAAAGACCCATGAGACCAGAGGGAAAACAGCTGAAATCAGGCTGGAGATCCAGGACTCCTGATTTCTCTTTCTAGTTAAGTCCCAGAGTCCTGAGGACTTCATTTGAATTTCTTTCCTGTCCTGTTTATGTTACCTCCTTGTGTCTCCAGTCCCCTGGTCAGGCATAAAGCTGAGACTTTGGCTTTGAAATGTTATGTGGAAGGAGCTATAGCACCCAGGACTGTGGATAGTCACATCAGTTATGATGCAGGCTTAGGTTTTTAAGGAAATGATTATTGCTTTCAGGAAATGTGTGATTGAGGAAGAAAACTGAGTCTCATGAAATACAAGAAGGAGGAGAGAATAAGGCCTCAAACATTTCTCCCACAAAAGTTAATGTCGCCTAGCCCTTGACATAAGCAGTGGTATCCTGATCATAACCACTTTACCATTTAGCACACACCAAATGTCCTCCAGGTGACAGGTCCTATGTTGGGGATCACTAAACTCCTCAGTGATTCCCTGTTCTCTTGAGAACAGTATACAGCCACCATGGTCTGGCATTTAAGACCTCCAAGACCTAGGTAGCCTCAAATCCACTTTCCTCCTCCACATTGTATTTTAAGTACAGTGTTTCAGAGGATCTAAGATGCTATCAATTGTAACTACATCCTTCTTTCAAATGTAGAAAAATAAGCCCTTAAAATCTATGAAATACGACATTTTATGCTCCATTGGAAATAGAGCTGCCTGTACTCTCCCCAGACGTTATGCTGTTTCAGGCCTTCTTCTTATTTTTTTTTTCAGCTATGTATTATGGAAAATTTCAAATATGTATCTTAACTCAAGCTGAGAGAATAAATAGTACACAAACCCCCACTATTCAGCTATCATAATTATCAACTCATGCTTATTTCTCTGTGTTTTTCCGTATTTCTTTATTCCTGGAGAGTTGTGGAGGCCTCCAGCACTGCAAAAACAAACAAACAAACAAACAAAATATATAGAGAGATCACCAAAAATTATATACATCAGAAAAACAGAAACTTGTATGAATATTTTAATACTAAATTTATTGAGACATCGCTATATTAATGCAAATTACCTTTGGCCTCTACAATTACAAGAGGTGCTCAAAGTTGTGGCTGGTAGCTTTGAGACATATGTTAGTATGGCAAAATGCTGAAGTGTGTATATATATTTTTTGTAGGCCTCTGTATATATACATATATACATGAAGAAGAAGAAGAAAATATTATTGATATTTTGGCTGGCTTCTTTCAAGTTTCTTCTCTATGAATTTTTAACATCACTGAGGCCATATTGTATAGTTGATTTTCTATACTGTCTTTTATTTAACATTATAAATTTAGCTAATCTTATTAGAAAGTTGTTTTGAGCATGTTTTTAATGACTTCGTTGTATTTTACAGGAAAGACGTGCCATGTCCACTCATTAATTCATTTATTCAACACTTCGTTACACTTACCTTGTACTGAGTATTCTAAATGACTAAAAAGCCCTCTCAAAGCTCATTTTTACCCATTATTGACTACTTTAACCTATTGAATTACCTAGTAAGTTAACTAAATTAATCCAACCTGGGGCTGTGGTAAATACTGTTGCAATGGTCATCCTTATATGAGAAGCTTTTCCTAGGTTTCCTAGATTATCTACTTCAGAGAGATCTCAGTAATGAAATTTCTATTTTACTTTACCTTTATGGACATTGAATATTATCCAAATTTTAGTTTAGTTAATTCAATAGTTAAGAATGCTATCTCATCATTTCAAGTTGAATTTCTCTAATTGCTTATTGATCAGTCATCTATGTATTAGCCATTTCTTTTCTGTGAATTTTCTGTTTGATGAGTACTATTTTTATCACTTATATTTTTTCAGTATCCAACTTGCCTTTCTTCATTTCTGTTTACTTGTTGTGACCTAAGGATAAATTAAGTATAATCTTGTTGCAAGCTTCTCTATTTCCTCTGGCCCTCTCCAACCTCAGATTACTCCCCACATCTTCCTGTTTTGAAGGGGAGTTGGGTGAGTCATATAAAGGATGCAGCAAGTGGCAAATTAAATGCATTCCCCAGGGAAACTTCTCAGAGTGCTGTGAATGGTGCTGATGTCAATTTGGAGGCAAAAAAGAGTGAAGAGGAAATGGGTTGGCAACTCTGATGCTAAATTTGTCCATGTGAAGAATTGAGAGGTTATGGATGATGGCTCATTCGGCAGATATCTTTAGAATACCTGCTGTGTGCCCAGATATGTGTGAAGTACTCATGATGGCTTATTTGCTGGAGAAGACAAACAGGAATTAGGTAATAATAAGTAGTTAACCATGTATATGTCGGAGGAATTCAGACTAAGTGAAGATGTTCAGCAGACAGTTGGAAATATCTACCTATAATTTGGAATGAAGACCCAGGGGAGGATAAGAAGCCAGTTTAAGAGACAGAACAAGAACAGGCATAGATGAAGGAAAAGAATAGCAATGTGATATATCACAGAAACCAAAGAAAGAAAGGTTTACCAGAAGAGGGATGTACATTTGGGGGATGTGATTTAGGGCAATATTATCTACTTTTCTTTCATTCATTTCTTCCTTTATTGATTCAATATTTTTTGCTGCTAGGTGCCGAACATTGTTCTAGACCAGTTGTAGCAAACCTATGGGAAGCACGTTGTTTTTCTTTTAAGACAAGACATATTAATGTATGGGCTATTTTTTTCTAAGTTAAAACCTCAGTATCCAGGTTTAATTGCAATGTTGGTACTTTGTGATAAATATGTGAGTTTTGTGTTGCATTTTGGGTTCTCATCTCTAAAAGGCTCCCCATCACTACAGGTCCTGAGTACAGAAATGACAAGGCACAATCTGAATGAAGGTGCAATGGACTGGATACACATTTCTAACATAGGTGCTGTCATACATTCATTTGACAAGTATTTATAGAATGTCTAAGATATGCCAGGAGATACTGAGGAAAAATGAGAAAGCTCT